TCATTTTGGGGTTTAAAACTGCCTCTTAAGTTGGAACAACTTTAAAATAGAATTAATTGACATTCGTGGCAACAATTTTAGCACAATAAAGCAAGCAAGTTGTTTATTCCAATTTACCGTGTTGTTTTTAAGTTGGGGGTGGAGTGGTGAGGCCGATACATGGGAGAGCAGTTCTATGGAAAGGAATAGTGCAGTACGACTGTGCACATCTTATGGCTTCACTCTTTAGCATCTGGCCAGCTTGTTCCAACATGATGAGAATGTCACGGTTGCATCGGTGCCCCGCAGACAGTCAGCGACTGGATAAAGAGTCAAACGGGATCGTAGTCTAAATATTTGCTTCCCGGCAACCACGTTCTCCTGCCTAGAACGGTGCACACATTAAACACATATCCAGATGTGGGAAGATGAGGACAGATGAGAGGAACATGCACATGGGGGGAGACAAGGAGCGCAGGTGAATTTGGGGAACTTTTGCAAAACTTTGCTCAAAAGAGCCCAAAATACAAAGCGGAGTGGTTCCAGCCTCCGGCGACATCAAGCTGCAAGGCAACAGACATCCCTGGACGACTTTCTCTCTTTTCCTCGGAAAGTCATCAACATATTCCTCCCACCCACCCCACCCCACCCCACCCCACCGCCCTCATCACTTCCCGTTCTGTTTTCTGCACGGCAGCAGAGCAGTGGAATAAATGTGTTGTGCTTTTTTCCCTTTCATTCCCGCTTCTCTGAGACTTCTTTATTCACCTCCTCATAACAAGCCCATTCGGTGTAAACAGTCCTGCTAGTTTTGCTGAGGGAAGGATGACCTGAATGTAGGGAGGCAATGGAAAACAAGTCTTGAATCATCCCACCCCCCCCCCAAAAAAAAAGAAGCTGACACTTTTGTCATAACCAGTTACTAGCCGATACTATTTACAAGCGTGAAGCACTGCTTCTGACTGAAAAGTCAAGCAGATCCGTATCATCCCAATGGAAAGCTATGCGGCGAGAAATGACAAAAATAATCCTCACATGCTTCTTCCAGCATTATGGCCTGCAGGCTGCACTTTGCTGCAGCTGCCCACAGTCTCCTCTTGGATAAACTTTATTCTTCCCTCACTTAAAAAATAAATAAATAAATAAATCGTAGACCAGCATTGTTTTGTTGTGTTTTCGTGCTGGTCTTGCTGGTTATACCAGCAGCAACAATCATCTTGCTGGTGGCAATGCACCAGAGTCCAGCAAAACCATGCTGGTCTATGCTGTTCTTTTTGGTTTGTTTTTTTGTGGGTTTTTTTTTTTTATTTTTTTTTTTTTTAATAGTAGGGCCTCTATTGTTTGTGTCGTTCATACCATTGAATGCCATCTTGTTTCCACAGTTGACCACAAAGTGAAAACCTACTGCTCCAAGCCAAAGAAAGTACAACTGAGCCAAGGTGGAACTGTGCAGTGAAAAAGTGTCATACTTAAGACATACAAAGACAAGATAACTGGTAGGGAACTGACCAATAGTATAGATTGGTGGGCAAAAAATTTAAATGGACCAAATTTGGTCAGAGGAGGCTTCGGCCTGACGCCAGCAATTTTCGATCCAAACCAGGATTAAAAAAAAAACTAACATGCCGTATTGTGACAATGCCATCTTGTTTCCACAGTTGACCACAAAGTGAAAACCTACTGCTCCAAGCCAAAGAAAGTACAACTGAGCCAAGGTGGAACTGTGCAGTGAAAAAGTGTCATACTTAAGACATACAAAGACAAGATAACTGGTAGGGAACTGACCAATAGTATAGATTGGTGGGCAAAAAAATTTAAATGGACCAAATTTGGTCAGAGGAGGCTTCGGCCTGACGCCAGCAATTTTCGATCCAAACCAGGATTAAAAAAAAAAAATAACATGCCGCATTGTGAAACCCGAAAAGAAGGAAGTGAGATTGAAGACATAACTTTTTTTTCTTTTTTAACTACAGCATCTATTCAATTGCATCTACTCATCTTTCTGACTGCAGTATTGGGCCACACTCAGCCTATTTCCTGACTGACGTTAGGTGTGGCTTCATGCAGTTTCACTTCTCTGACCAATGAAGCATAAACATCCTAAAAACAACCCCAATTTTGTTGGTTCTAATTTTTTCCACCTTCGGAGGTACAACAGAGTCTGATGTGTGTTTGTGTGTAAGGTAGTTCAGCATAATCAGAACTGGGGTGTGAGGTTCTTATACTGCTGAGAAAGGCAGCATTTTCCTGCCTCTTTTTTGTGTCACCGTTTTGTATTAAAAAAAAAATAATAATAATAATAATAAAAATGGTGTTGCCCTACCTGGAATGACCTCAAAGAGATATTTTCCTGCTTCATCGCCGCTGCTTGGATGCTCTAAAACTTTGTTGCCGGGCAGAAAAATGGCTCCCTGCAGAAGAAGAACAAAAAAACGGAACACTTCAATCCCATGCTGTGAGTGTTTTGAGCCCGAACAGTCAGGATTAAGTTCTGACCTACTTTACGGGCATTTGGACAGAAGTGTGAGTTTGAAACGAACGAGCCAGTGGTGCCAAATCGATAGAGGTCATTAGCAAGGGTCATGCTAATGAAGACAAGCTGTGGGTCAGTGACAGCGTGAACAAGATCAGAGGGGAGTCCTAGTTCGGGGGCACTTTAATGGGCCGTAACTGTGACAACCGGGAAGTAGTGGAAACTCTACCTGAGGCCCCAGACGAAAAGATTTCAGAGCAAAAGGGTTGTAAAAAGCGGGACGGAACTGAAGCGTTTGATGTGGCCTTCATCTACAAAAATGCACAGATCAACAGCACCGATGTTTTTTTTTTTGAATTTAACTTTCATTGCGGTGGCACTTTGACCAGGCAGGAAACAAGAGATGGCTTCAATGCATTTGTGGGTGTGGCTTTTGGTAGCTGGGCTGGCACTCGTCGCTCCATACTTTTAGACCACAACACCCACTGACATGTCCTGCGGTGGCCTTTTGTTTGCTGTGCTCAACTTTGACCACAGACCAATTTTTTTTTTTTTTTTAAACATTTGTATATTGTTGCTATGTTGGAAACAGTCATTTAAAGGGGGAATGCTGTAATGACAACGTCCCCAAAATATAGCGACGGGAGACAAAACTCAGCGAGGGTATAGTTTAACCCTTTCGGGGACAGCGGTTACTACAGCGGACAGCTTATCATGCGATCGGGTTACAGGGTGCAGGAAAGGGTTCTTTTCAATTCCAAGTGGCAAACATTGAGAGTTGTTGAACTGCAAGTCATCGGTCATTAGCCATTGGCCGGTTGATGACCACTAAGCCCCTTTTTTATCTGCTAATTACTGGTGTCCAGCCTCAGTGGTCTAACAGAGTCAGGAAGTCAAACCCAGTGGGAGCACTCGCGATGTCAGTGAGTTCCTTTTTTTCCTTTAAGTCATTCTCTTCAAGAGTCTTTATCAATGTAGGAGTCAAAAACATTCTGGTTAAAAATCTTTAAAAAGTTACAAGGCTTCTCCGCTGGTTGTCAGTGACTGCGAGTACCTAAAACACAATAAGGAGTCACCGAACGATGAGTTGTGACCCAATATTTTTGTCCACTGTGGAATGTGAAAATCCTTGAATTGGCCTCGGCCAAAAAAGTACTTTGATGTACTTAACGAGAACTCACTGAGCACAGCATGTCTCTCAGTGTCTTTGTTTAACCTTGTTAAAAGTATAGGAGACGAAAAAAAAAAAAATCATTTAGCCCAAAGTGCACTTGAAGAGTTTATGGACTTACTTCCTTGTAAGGTCAACGGAGGACATCGCAAATTAACCCTTTCATGCACCCCGTAACCGAATAACATGCTAAGCTGTCCACTGTCGTAACCGCTGTCGCTGAAAGGGTTAAGACACAGGTGTCATTAGAGAAGACGTGACGCTCGCTTAAGCATAGCGATGCTGATGTTTCGGTCAGCCACTGTTGAACAGAAAGCAACTGCTCAAAGGGCCACTCTGAGAGCACGGTGAAAGTCACTTGTGCACATTCCTTCGAATTCCCACCGCTGGGCTGTTCCTACCTGAGGTCATGGAAATGTGATTTAGAAAACAGAACGCGAAGGAAGCTGATAGACTTTTCCATTCATCGGGTTGTGGGACAGGGCGACCGTTACACAGTCTGCATTTGGGCTACGTGCAAAGAATACTTCGGAAATAAGATGGGCCGCTTTCAGTCCGCGCACTCCTGCCAACTGCGACGCGATGATGCCTTGGATGGCAACCGGCCATGTATTACACACTGAGGTTGTACTAATGAGACTTTATGTGTTCAACGGTGCCGATCGCGCCGGGGGTCAAACAGCGGCGTTAGAATTTCATTGAGCCTGACAAGTGAAAACAGAGAGAATGTCAAGGTCGGACAAAAGGCCTTTGCCGCATAAAAACTCATCGGGTTGTCTTTTCAAAGCATGTACTGTAATAACTTCGAGCGCATTTCTGAACAATACGGATAATTCACTGGCACCGACGCGCGACGGCCATGTTTGTATGCTAAAGTCACAGCGGCTAATGAATGCCGCCCTTGTG